GTTTTATTGTGAGGACATTGCTACCACCTGATGAAGGAATGATGGAGATCAGCGCACATATGAAGTTGAAATGTGTGTGAGAGAGTGTTTCATGTGTGTGTGCGTATTGCCTAACGTGGCAGTTGTCAAATAGCCAATGGAGGGAAGCTTTGGCTCAGTGGATGAAAGCGTAAAATGTTGTTTTACAGAATAAATAAGTCGTTTTATCTGCGCCATATTGACCATTAAATGTTTATTTCATGAGTTTTTTTTTATTCATCATAAAAAGAATATTACTCTGACCGATAAAGCTTGAATTTGGAGCAGCATGTTGTGTGAAAATTTAAAAAAACCTCGATAAAGCAGCTTTTACCGGGCACTGGGAATGGGCTACGGTGGCTGGACATACGCGCAGCTGCATCTCGTGCACCTCTGGAAATGGTCTCGTGGACAGCAGAGAGCAGCTCGAGATAACTCAAAGTGGGGGGGGGGAAATGAATGTGCCGATTCTTTTTATAGGTAATGCATTGCCAAAGTGGTTGGGGAAGTGTAACCTGACGATATGGGATATGGGAACTGACATGTCGCCAAATAATTTAGTAACGGCAGGTCGCGAGGGCGAGGTCCTACCCGCCTGCCGTTAAAGGTTAATTCTCCCTCAAACTGCCGTTCAATTACACGCCATAGTTCGCCTCCGTCCATAAAACCAGACATTTGGCATCGGAAATGCATAATTGAAAATTGCATTTGAAAGATTGATTAAGTTCCCTTTTATTCCGCATAAAGTTTGGAAGTTCTGACAGGACAAAAAAAAATAAGCCTAGATAAAAGCAGAGTGTTTCTCCACTACATCAGTAGAGTCTGAATGTATGGTCTGGGGCCCTTTGGAGTCCTCAGTCAAAACAATAAGTGAGATATCTGAACAGAAGATGTCTCTCCAGGAAAATAAAGACAATTCAATACAAAATGAAGAATGTTAAAATTCACCAGAATGCATTTTAGAGAGGCTTAATGTGTGTCTGCTTTGAGTTTGTTACATGAAACCATTTGAGACTGTAGATGTGGGCTATGACTTTGGTTGCTAATGTTGGATGTCCTTACAATAAATGTTTTATGCACCTCTGTGATCTTGCAGTGACACCTGAGTGTGAAAGACATCTGCTGGATAAAGAAATGACATCAATGAAATATTCTCTTTTCTTTTTGTTTCTTTGTTCCCTTCGTTGTTTCTGTGTGTCTTTCTTCCAGGTTCTAGTAAACGTTGGGAAGAATTTTGACGAGGAGAGGAGTAATTTCATCGCGCCACGCAAAGGGATTTACAGTTTTAACTTCCACGTAGTGAAAGTCTACAACCGCCAAACTATACAGGTAGCACATTATTGTGTGTTTGTCTTTTTACATGTATTTGTGTGTGCTTGTGTGTGGCGGACCACGCCATGCGCCCCCCACGCTGTTTCTCCCTCATAAAAGTTGAATATCACCTGCATTTGAGATCATTTTGTCGATGTTTGAGATGTCATACCCGTGAGACGACGACGGAGGCGGGCTTAAACAGATGAAAGTCAGTCGCTCACCCCCCGCCGGCCCAATCATAATTAATCAATACGTGCACAGAGGAAAGAGCCAAATCAAGTGTGTGCAGCCGGCAGGAGGACGGGGCGCTGTGGTGAGCACAAGGAGGGGCACGCGGCTCCTGCAGCTTTACTTTCAGCACCATGGACAGCGACGTCCCCTTCTCTCCGTCTCTTCCCATGAAAAGAGGCAGCAGGCGTACTAAGATTTTTGATTATTTAGAAGATTAAAACATTAAGTACATTTTCAACAGAGCAAACAGAGACAGGCATTTTTCATTTTCTCTCTCTTACACACAAACACACACACACACACACACTCACACTCACTCACATGGGTTTTGTGTAGAAATAACATGTTTTCCACTTATTTGTTTCTCACACACACTGCCTGCAGTATGCCCCATCACAACTCTCCTTTCATCCCACTAACAAGCCGTTTTCACTGTGCCTTAGATGCAGGCTCCATTTTCTTTTGATGTGTCAAGTGATAGAAAGCACTTGAGCAGTCTTAAGCCCATTTCCAGCATTTAACATGCACGTGATGGTGCTTTACAAGCCACACGGCGTTAATTACAATGTATCTCTTGCAAATTAAACTGTTGTGTAATTATGCTGTTGGCTCCCCAGGGCTTTGGCATTATGTTTTGCTACTTATACTTTATTATTGGAGTCTTGAATTAATTAGCATGGCAGCAGCAGTAACAACAATAACAACAACAAGGAGGGCTGGCGATATGAGAGGGGGGAAAGCTGCGTCGAGCTCGGCACATACTCCCAGTCATCTTTATGTGACTGAACTCAGATAGGGCCGTGGATGGCAAACAATTGATTCATGGCAGGGAGGTAATTAAATCTGTCATACCATGCAGAACATAATTGGTGACAGTGACTGTCACAATAGCATTTATTGTTATTTGTGCTAATTTACGATGTTCTCAGTATGAAACTATAGTACATCGCCTGACTGACTTTTACAACCTCCCTGTGTCCTGCTTCGTTTAAATCCTCTAAATCACTCTTTTTAAATAACCTTTCAAAAGAGCATTTGAAACTTTGGATTGAATGCAGTTCGAAAAAGCTGTGCTCCGTCACGTTTCCAACATGAAATAGACAGGTGTAGGTTGTCCTCTCTCCTCCAAGCATCCAGCCTGTGCGCCGCTCACCTTCAACCTCTTCCACTCATCCTCCCATCCATCCAGCGCATCTGCTGTGTTGAAAACTCCCACTGTTTGATTGCCTTAGAGGCAGCTACTGTGGTGCATGCAAGAGATGAGAGACAGCAGGGAAAGGGGAAGGAGAGCGGTAGGGATGGAGGGAAGAGGGGAAAGGATGAGAGTCAATGTAAAACAGTGGGTGGGACAAAGGAAAAGAAAAGAAGGTACGAGGGACAGAAGGGGAAGGAAGCGAGACGGGAGAAAACGAGGAGAGGAAAAAAATGGAAGGCAAATGGAGAACTGAAAAGGTGGGAAGAGAAAAGAGGGAGAAGTCAGAAGAACAAAGGATGGAAAGGTTCAGGCAGGCGAAGAGAGAGATAGGAAGAAAGCCAGACATCATGAGTAACTATTGATCAGTGGGTGCTGGGTAGAGGTACAAAGGGAAGGATAAACAGTTTGTTCCATCTCTCATCGGTCCTTTCCTGTGCAGGGATCTGTCTATCTATCCGAGAGGGATGAGAGGAGTAACGTGGGTGTCAAAAAGCTGCTAAAACTCTGTCTCTTTGATTTTTTGCCTAGCAATTAAATAAAAGTATTAGAAACTAAATGCAGTATATTCTCTGAGCCAAAGAGAACTCCACCACACTACCCAAAATGCCACCCATCAGCTGTGCCTGTATGTCCACTAATGGATAGCTTCACTTACATTACTTATGAAAAGAATCACGTACAATATACATACAATCAAACACCTTCTGTTGTTACAGGATTTCATTTCCTACATGTGCCACTGCTCTCTATTTGAAATGAAATAGAAACAAATAAATTCCAGATCCCTTAGTGAACATCTTGTGCCTGCAGCTTGGAACAGAGAGCTCGCAGCTCAGAAAGACAAACAGATGAGGCGCAGGTAGGATATCAATACTCCACTAAATCACAAGTTTCTTTTTCAGTTTGTTGAAGACCATAGTTCCGTATTGTGGGTATAATTTCAGGTATTAGACAGGGGTTAATGTGCCTTCTGCTAGAGTAACGCACAGCAAGTTAAACAAAATCAAAACACAAGCCAGCAGTCCTATTATCACTAATCAGCCTTTTAGTGTTGAGTTGATGTTGGCTATCCACAGAGCAGTGATCTGAATTTCAGAAAAGAGAACTGAAAGAAAAAACTTTATTTTTCTGCCAGGAGATTGGATGGAATATTGCAGTGCTGCTTATTGTGAAATATAGTGGTATTTTAAAACAGTATTTTGAGGACCCAAGCATTCAGAATGCCATTCATGAAGCTTTGGGTCACAGTAGCTCTGTAGGGGTGAAAGCTACACAAGGAAAGCATCTAAAATGCCTCACACTGGAGTGTGTATTAAGCCTTTCATTTTCATATTGAGAGAAGGAAACCTGGAGGCAGTGATTCAAGCTGTTGGTAACACACAGCTCTGATAATAGGAGATTGTACGAGCTGCTCTTTGGGCTATAAGAACTTATTTTACATTTTAACTCAGAGTAGCTGCATCTGTCTGCAACAAAGCAGAACCCTTTCAACTCTTTCAGAGCCAGCCTGTGTTTGCACTTTGGTTTCTAATACACACATTTGTATTCTCTAACTTGGGTCACCGGGGTCATCCCATGTTGTAATGAGATATTTTACTCTGAGGAATAGCAAACATACTCTGTTTTCAAATGCCATGCAGTTCATTCAGAACACCAAATGCTATCCCTGTTTACTGTAGTACAAAAAGTAAAAGTAATTTCAGTTTACTATTATTTCACCATGCTGAAATCCTAATGTGTGTTTTGCATCAGCTTTGTTGAAACCTATGTCATTGCTTACTGGATTTGTCATTCTGCAGCTCAATTCTTTAAGATATATTTTCTAGTGGTAATAAATCATCATAGCATCATAACTAACAACAATGAAGCACAACTTCAAACAGACTTATCGATATGTGGGAGGTAGGATATTTTGAACAGGACAAGCCAGAGACCATAGCTCTTGTAGTCTGTTATTAGCTGCATAAAGAGTTTTGCTTGTCAATGGTAATCCTTCTGAAGTCACATGTATTCAAATGTTTGTTGCTATATTTTTCACAGCATACAAACAACATAAAGACCCAGAAATGAATGTGATTCAACAGTGTGTAGTACATGCTTATTTTGACACATATACATATTTTCAGTGTGTTTGCAAACTGTGTTTTATGATCAGGGCTGCACAATATGGTAAAATTGTATCATTTTCACTGAAAAACATCTGCAGAAAGTTTGTAGGCCAGTGCGTCTCCAGAACTACAATATAGCCTAAAAATGCTGTTTTGTCACACATTTTACCTTCAATCAAAATATTGCAGCTTCAGCGATTTGCATTATTTATTTAATATGTAATATAGTTATGTATTTCATATGATCTATAATGAATGCTGTGTGACTGTGGTATATGGGGCTCTGATGAAAATTGTTATAGTGCTGTCACAAAGTGCTTATGCCATATAAGCACCACTTCATTAAAGTGTTGGCAAATTCTGTTTTAAAAACACACACACGCTATTTAAAGATTGATACATGCATAGAACCACTTAGATGAAACTTAGCAAATGCCACTTCCCTTCTAGACATCTTTAAATATCATCAAACAGTTTATTTAATATAGTCTAATTCCCTATGCAGCTTTCCACTAGCCAACAGACTGCAAAACACTGGCTAAACACAAAGATGGCCTGACATGCACATTTATACACATACAATAACAGCAAAAAAGAATCAAATCCAATCAAACAGAAGACCTTAGAGTGAACACAACAGTGCCTTAAGTTGCCCTTTTTATTATATAGTGAGTTGATAACATGAAAGGCTAATTAGACTTAATAACACTGCCCAATTTATGTTATGTATCTTTATGTCACCCTTAAAGACAAATTATATCAGTAACATAGTGTGTGTTCATTGTGTAGGTTTCCAGCTAAGTGCAACTTAACAGCCTGTTTAGGCCCGTATACGCCCAGTTAACTAATTCAAAAGGTGCATTCAAATGGAGACACCACCATCCCAAACCCCTACCCCTTCTGCCCCCACAGCCCCTTCTCACAGCTCTGTCAGATTGTTGCATGTCTTCCCCCCCGGTGTACATTTCAGCCGTGAAATGTAGTGCCTAGATAAGCTATTTCCTCTATTCTGTGTGACTCCAGAACATACAGGTCAGCTCCACAGCAGTGACCAAAACACAACATGCCCATCACTCATATAGAAGAGTGGATGTCTTTTAGTCTTTAAGCATCACTTGTGGCCACCTCATTAATACTCATATGGTGTTTAAGACCAACAGCACCTCACAGATAGTGCTAATGAACGAAGACATAAAGGATGTGCCACTACACTTCCAGCCTACTACAGCTGTGCGTTTGAGAAAAGTGAGTGGCCGGCAGTGTGTTGATGTGTTGACTATGAGGAAGTGTGAACAAAATGAGCAGCGGGAATTGTGCTATGACACAGAAAAAATACACTAGTCTTCTGCTACTGGCTTAGACAGCGTTCATCTTATACAGTGGAGATGCAGGGAAATGAGAGGCAAGTCAAAGCAACATAAATAAACACCTTATCTGTTTCTATGTTCTCTTGCCTTTGAAATGGTGGAAGGAGAAAGCGG